GTTGCTGTGCACCCCACTACAAAGGAAGTCACGACTCAGACCACCACCATGGAAACTAATACTGAGATCATCACTGTGGCAGACAAAAGTGAGTCCCCCAGAGTGGAAATAACCACAGAGCCCACCATTGTAGAAAGTACTACAGGTTTGACTACGACGGAAGTCACTTCTGTAGCCACCACTTTGGAAACTACTGAGTCAATCACTTTGGAAGCTACTACAATGCCCAACACCGAGGAATCAACTACTGTGCCCACTAGTGTGGAAACAATGACTGACCCGACCACTGTGGAAACTACCATAATGCCCACCACCATGGAAACCACCAAACTGCCTAACACGGTGGAAACAAAGAATGTACCAATTACTACGCCCACCATTGTGGAAAAAACTACTGAGCCAGCCACTTTGGAAGCTACTACAATGCCCAACACCGTTAAAACAACTACTGTGTCCTCTACTATGGAAACAATGACTGACCCCACCACTACAGAAACTACCACTGTGTCCACTACCATAGAAACCACCAAACTGCCTAACACTGTGGAAACAAAGAATTTATCAATTACTATGCCCGCCACTGTGGAAACAACTACTAACCCAACCATTTTGGAAGCTACTACAATGTCCAACACCGTGGAAAAAACTATTGTGCCCACTACTGTGGAAACAACGACTGACCCGACCACTGTGGAAACCACAGCTGTGCCCACCACCATGGAAACCACCAATGTGTCCACCTCTTTGGAAACAACAATTAAATCAACCACCGTGGAATCTACTACCTTGCTTAACACCGTGGAAACAAGTACTGTGCCCACCACTGTGGAAACAACGACTGAGTCAACCATTTTGGAAGCTACTACAATGCCCAACACCGTGGGAAAAACTACTGTGCCCACTACTGTGGAAACAACGACTGACCCTACCACTGCCGAAACTACCACCGTGCCCACCACCGTGGAAACCACCACTGCGCCCACCTCTGTGGAAACAACTATTAAATCAACCACCGTGGAATCTGCTACTTTGCCTAACACCGTGGAAACAAGTACTGTGCCCACCACCGTGGAAACAACGACTGTGCCCACCACTATGGAAGCTACCACTGAGCCCACCACCATGAAAACCACCACTGTGCCTACCACTGTGAAAAAAACGACTGTACCGACCACTCCCCGAGTTCTTTCAGAGGAAGAATTGCGAAAGATTTTTAATTTGCCCTTAGGAGGTGAAAATTTCAATTACTACTCTGACATTTTTTTCCTAGACAAAAGTAAATTTTTTCTTGACTTGTTCTGGTTCTCTTTTTCTTCTCCTTTGCTAGTGTGCTTCTGTAGCAAGTTTGCAACAGTCACGAGGCAGTGTTTTCCTACGGCACTGAACAAACCGTGTATATGTCGTGCGAACTTCGCTGGCCTAAGATGCGAGAAGTGTGCTCCTGGCTATTTCAACTATCCTTTTTGTGCTCGTAAGTAGCCCAACACTGGTATTTATTTCAGGGTATCGTGGAAGTCTTGTTCAGTCATGGAAGGGTACTAAGGGTAGGTTGTGACAGTTCAGCGAAATTTAGAGCAGTTCGCCCTAAAGAAGGGTCGGAATGTTTCCGGAAAAGAAATGAGTGAACCTCCTCGAAGTTTTTCGAGGAAAAAAAACTTGAGAGGAAAACAAGGTTTACTTATTAGTAGAGGTGGATTCAACGGCTGGATTTGTTGGCCTGGTAGGAAAGCAGTGTTTTTCCCCTCTCAGAGGGACAAATGACGAGAAACAATACCTGGTTAAGGTTATGTCAGCCTGTGAATTTTCCTTTTTTTCTCGTAAATATGCGTGGAAGTGCTCAGATTCCACTCTTCCATGAATAAGCTTCTAAAATTAGTACCGTTTTAACGTCTTTTGTAATAGGGAGTACCCCGGGACAAACGGATCGATTAACTGTAAGGTTTTCTTTTATTTTTTCATGCGCTAGTATTTGTCTTTCAGCCTGCAGATGTAACAAACAGGGCTCCGCATCGTTAGTCTGTAACCAGTATACAGGACGCTGTAGTTGTAAGCCAGATGTCAGAGGAAGAAGGTGTGATGAATGTCCTGTCAAATCTTATGGCTTTCCCACATGTTTAGGTGAGTTTCAGGAATCCTCTTTATTGAATCAGGCTGCGAATTGAAGAATCGTGCCCTCAGCGAAACTGTGCTGTAAAGATATCGTTCAAAGGAAGATGGTGTTACTACTTTCCAGCACCGGCGATAGACGCGAGGATATTTAGACAAAAACGTGTACTCTCTTTCTTCGTAGCTTGTGACTGCAACTTGTCTGGTTCATACGGTGGAGGTGCCTACTGTGATCCGTACACCGGGCAGTGTCCCTGTAGATATGGCTTCAGAGGAAGGCAATGTGACAAGTGTCCTGCTGGTTATTATAACTTTCCTAACTGCCAATGTAAGTTGACCATTATTATCGTTATTATCATTTTTATCACTGTTATTTTTAATTGTTCTGTTCATAGTTTAATATCGCTGTCAATATTACTGTCGTTGTCATTATCTTAGTCTTGTTAATGTTTTTATTATTATTTACTTATGTTTCACTTCATAAGTCGATAGGTTGCATCAACAATTCCTTAGATATCAAACTATATTCGAAGGTTCTTGGCCATACCGATATGAGGAAAGATACCATTTTCAAAGCTAATAATTAAAAGTGCATTACCGAAAGCCAGTTTCGTGTAGCTTCCGACTTGAACTTGAGTGGTGATTTGCGTGGCATCGCTGCTGAAGCTCAAATGTATCACGTCACGCAATTCCATGATTGTACCATCACATCGCTTAATTTTTCAGGGTGTGGATGTAATCCGTTAACAACAATATCTGACATATGTGAGGACAGCGCCGACGGCTATAGGTGTTTATGTAAACCCAACTATGAAGGTCTTTTCTGTGGACAGTGTAAAAAAGGATATTACGGCTTCCCTGTTTGCAAAAGTGAGTATTCCTAAACAAGTAATGTTCCCCCAGGCCGGTATGGGAGCTAAAGAAAACTCCACCTTTATCAAAGCACCGCTCTCTGTGTGTCAACTTTCGCAATATCAAGGCTTTCACTAAAACCTATAATTAATTGACTCTGTGTTCACTGTGAAAATCCTATCTTAACTTCGTGAGAGACAATGTCATGTTGGTTATAGATCCCTTCTCAAGGCAAAAATATTCTTTAGTGTGGAATAGATTTAGTATTACACGTGGGCCAATAACACAACAGATAGAGGACCATTAGTCTTGCCTCTCGTCTTGTTCTTCAAATCCAATAAGATCTCATTCAGCAAATATCGTGTTCGTAAAAGTTTTGTGGTGTATGATTATATCGTTCAGAATTGTTCCCCAGTACCTACTGATCTATGTTTTTCGCCAGGATGCACGTGTTCGCCTCGTGGATATGGTTCTTGTAATGAACTTGGAAAATGCGTCTGTAATGATGGGTATGCCGGGATACAGTGCGACCGCTGTGCAAATGGCTACTATGGTTTCCCAAACTGTAGAGGTAAGTGGAGGAGAGGTGGTAAGGATGTGACTTCGACTTTTCGTGGGCGTTATCAGAATAAGTTAGCAGTCAGCTACATATTTTAAAATCTTTCCAAAAGGAAAAACGTCACTCGCAAATAGTTCTTCTCCACTGAGTTTAGAAAATTTCTGACAATCAAGTATCAATACCAATTTTAAGAAAGGAAAAATCTTAGCAGAGCGAGGTTTTGATCCTCGGACCTCTGGGTTATGGGCCCAGCACGCTTCCACTGTGCCACTCTGCTGCTGATAGGTTAAGCGTGGGAAACAGGAAGTTTGATTGCCTTTCATGCGTTTTGTTACTTTTGAATCACGCACTTACGCCTCTTGAAAAGAATATTTTCTTTTGTCGTCTCTGTTACGAAAAGAGGAAACAAAAATGCAATAAATACTCCCAGACTGTTGTAATTTACTTTTGCTCTAAATACAGAGCTCAAGGAGAGAACAACGCCATCCCTTTTCTTTCCTGTAACTCTCTACTGGGACCGTTACAAAAAAGACCATGACTAGTGAAGCATGCTCCATTAATATTAACGAAGGAACTATCTCAGTGAGTCTTTGATATTTGACCAATCTTCTTACCTACTCAGCGTGTAATTGTAACACCTTTGGCTCGTACAGTAGACAGTGTAACTATACAACCGGGGAGTGTTCCTGTAAGCCCGACATCCGAGGTATTCAGTGTGACCGCTGTGCAGAAAATATGGTGGGCTTTCCCGCGTGTATCAAGTGTGACTGTAATGCAGATGGTACCAGATTCTTGCCTGGTTTTGCCAACGGAATGTGTTACGGTTCAGCCAAGGTCAGTACGAGGAATGATATAGCTAGAATTAATCATTTGTTTTTTAGTTGGGTCGGGAGAGGTGGTTGATCTGATTGTTGGCACGCAGAGCCAACGAGGCGTGTTTTTGTTTTTGTGTGGTATTACCTTTCCAGGTTTGTTCGCCCATTCAATAGTGTCATGAAACTTCAAGGGTTAAGATAAGGCTCTATAGACATAGAAAAAGTCCCCGGTTGCTTAGATGTGACAATTAAAACGCGAAACCGTAACGTCTTCACTCCATTAAGATCGTTTTCTTTGGACAGTTTTTACATGCAAAAACTTTCAACCCTTGTTTACTCAGTTCACTTTATAAAATGACAGGTCTTTATGTATACCATCCTTGTTCTAGTATCAGTGCCTTTGTAAGTCCAACGTTGTGGGCCGCACATGTGATCGTTGCCTGCATGGTTTCTACAACTTTAGCGGCAGCAACCCCCTTGGTTGTACATCCTGTGGCTGCTCACATGTTGGGACTGTGTCGGGTACACGCAACTGTCATGCGCAAAATGGGCGCTGCGAATGCAAGAATCATGTGATGGGTAAAAAGTGTCAGAATTGCCGAGATGGGTACCATGGGATGAAGTCACATGATATATTTGGTTGTAAAGGTGAGGCGTTGATTCTTTTAAGTTCAGTATCATGTTTTGAAGTGTAGGGGCTTTAAAGGCCTGACTTAGACTTTGACAGACAGACCGTGGCCCGTAACGAATTAATCGCATTTGGATGTTTTCCTTTCTTCGTACCAAATTGAGGGTGGAACAAATGAAACAAAGTAGTTATTCAATGCCTAACAAATGAATTATTTTTTATTTAATCTGGGAAGTCATTCCTCTTCCATGAACTGATTTGTTTGACTCCTGGCGTCCCTTTTTTT